CATATATAATGAGGCATAGCATTGTGTAATACAATGTTCCTGACGGGTATTTGGACCTGTTCAACCATGAAGCCTTCGTGGTCTAGTTGTTATGCCTTGTCAGCGAGAGGCCGCAGGTTCGAATCCCGTCGGAGGCATTTTATTACACAATAATTTTTCATAGGACTTTATTCGTTGAAAAGCTACAGGGTAACCTACAATGTTCCATCATGTCCTTATTAAACACTGTATAGGTACCTTTGAAATCAAAGTTTAGCTGTTTGCTAACCCCTGCATCAAATCACTGGGATGTACAGCTCAGAGTGTATTCATTTAAGACTGAAGTGATAATTAGTGTGGTAGCATTTGTAAACATATTCATTTTATGGTATTGCTGAAACTACAAGTAGATGTTTTTTCGCCTTTTCAATTATGCTAATTTCTAGGTAAAAGTGGTGGTGGGTGGGAGTGGAGAGATTATTTTTACTGCGGCCTTAGTGTTCTGAATGAAGGTATAAAAAAATAGCAAATTAATTTAATGAATTTATTTCTGATATATGTTTCTACACTATTTAAGGAATAGTTAGTGTAATTGTTGCCAGGGTGTTTTTAATTTATGCTTTGAGGGTTTTTATTTGCTGATTTCTGTTTTAATCATGAACAGGGTATTAAGATATTATGATTGCGACAATGCAATGCGACTAATAAAAACTATAATTTCAAATTCATTTTATTGTGTACAAAAATACAATAAAAGATAAATAGACTAACTGCATTTGTTTCACTCACTTATTTCTCAATAATACTGCCAACATTAAAGTAAAAACTCTTTACTTTAGTGAAATTTGTAATTTGAACTGTGCATGCCATATCCAAGGTCAACTGGCATAATTTGAACTGTGCATGCCATGTCAAAGGTCAACTGGAATAAATCTATGTTGTGTGTATGCTTACGTAGATTAACCTTGATACAGACTGCAGTTTCAACTAAAAAAAAAATGTCTTATTGTGAATGTATTAATAATAGTTACTATACATAAAATAGTCCCAGTAGAATTTCAAGGTCAAGATCAATATTCTGTTGCTCAACCAACTGAGCTACAACACTGGTATCCTCTTTTGTGTTATTAAATATTTGACGCCCAACAGAGTTGGAGCCGTCGGGAGTGGGCTCTTTATAAGCTGCTTCAGACAGCTGGTGACCACAGATACGCAGGAGTCCAATCTTGAGGATGGATCAAGCATTAATTCCATCATTGTGCAAGTTTACTAATGTCTTCATATTGCACTCCATTCACTACTCTTCCTTTCATTGCACCCTGAAAGCAACAATTTCACATGACAGAAAACAAAACAATTAGACCTGCATTGATGAAGATTGAAGGATAACTAAATCAGAGAAGTACAACGGAGTAAAGGGAAAAGAAAATGTAAATAATTGTAATCCTAATGAATTATCTCACCGATTCTAATCTGATGCTGACACAGAATTTTTCACTGTCCAACGAGAGAAGAGTAGCTTGGCATCCTCGATAAATTCCATTCAGTAAAAGAACTTGTTTTCCTAATATTAAGCAAAGATAGGCCTAACTATTAGATTGTTATAATTTTATTAAAGAATGGACATTGAAAGAATTTGATTTTGGACTTTGATCACCAAAAGCCGTACACTTGCCCTACAAGCCCTGTCCAGAACTTTTTTTGACAAAAATATGTGACATGCAAAAATATGATCGTGACAATATCACATCACGACCATATATCATGACTATATATGGGCATACAACAGTATGCATGGGCAGAGCTTAGCATGGAAGAGAAATAGCAAAAGAGAAGAGAAAACGATGATAGTATGGAGTCAGTGGCGTATCTAGAAGTCTTGAAGTGGGGGTGCTGATGGGGAATGTGAAGTGGGGGCCCTTGATGATCAGTTGAGAGGTACTAACTCGCAAAATAAGTGATTTTAGGTGATTTTTAACTACTTGACCGTGATCTTTGGGGGATGACTGGGGGAGCGCGAGTAATTTTTGGAGGGGTGTGTGCCCCCCACACCCCCTAGATACCCAATGCAATTAGTGTGGCAAGTCTATAAGAGATGGCCACTCATTAGTTCAGAACTGGTTGGACATTTCATTGTAACCATCATGTTGACGTCAATCTTGATTCAAAAGTATATCAAAACATTAATGGTAAAACAGATAAATAAGTACTGTAGTTGCCCAATCACACTACCTGGTCTGGGGGGGGGGGGGCACAACAGTAATTATTAGTAGTAGGTAATTAAGTAGCACATAACATTGATTTGCATTGACATGTTGGTAAAATTATTATTATTATTATTATT